TTTGCGCCGTAAGAGACCTCCTGTTTAACATGGTTAATGATAATAGCTTACACCAACAGATACTAGAATTGGCACATCTTATCTGTTATAACTCTTTTTTCCAATTCAACGGGATCACGTACGGCCAAGGAAGAGGCGTCCCCATGGGTAGCCCCATCGCAGGGGACCTATGCGAAATAGTGGTCAGACAATTAGAAGATATAGTCATCCCTCAATACTCACCTAACATCTTACTATATAAACGATACGTGGATGATATTCTCATCTTATGGAGGATTGAGCCGGATGTTTCAAGGTTCGTTGATTCGTTCAATGATAATCCATACGGCCTGACCTTAGAGATCGATCAAGCTCACGCTTCTGAAGCCCATTTTCTCGACATCAACATCAAGTTCGAACAAACAACTACCCGTACAGAAGTGTACCGGAAACCAGGGGCTGAGCATCTATACATTCCAATAGGATCGTGCGATCCACCGAACTATAAAATGGCAGCCTTCAACGCCTTAATTAGGAGAGCATACTCGCATTCATCGGATCGGATATCCCTACATGCCGAACTAAGACATATTGAACAAATAGCCAACGAACATGGTTATCCCAAGATCGTACGTAAATTGATCCGCAAATGGCGCTGCCGAGAAGTAGCCCTTAACCAAGCACCCAAGGAAGTTCCATCTAACATCATCCCGGTTACATACAATCCGTACCTGAAATCAATTTACAACACAATAGCGAAGAAAAAGAATATTCGCATCGCGTATAGAAGATGCGCCACAATTTTTGACATTTTACGGAACGGGAAAGATACCCCAAACAAAGAACGACGCCCAGGGGTATATACCATCCCAATGATTGATCATAGATGGAACAGAAGCCTGATATACGTAGGATCCACTAAGCGCTCCTTAGAGGTGAGAATTAAAGAACACATGGCGGATATTCTACATGCAAGGCAAAACACCGCTCTTGCCGTCTATGCCTCGGATACGGAAATAGAACCGTTATTCAGCCAGGCCAAGGTAATCCGCACTACAAAGTACACACACCACCTTAGATGGCTAGAGGCCCTGTACATATGTATGGCTACGCTTAAAGACGACAATTGCATTAACAACAAAGACGAGATCATCCTGTCAACTGCATGGCAGGTGCTCGTAGACAAAAAGTTACGTTAATTTAGAACCAGCGAAGGGGCGCATGCGTCAATGACGCCAGCGATACGTACGAGAAAATTCGTAATGATGTTCTTTTTTCAATCAAATTTGAATGGCGTTCGCTTGGACATGTTACCTGAGGAAGAACTTAAAGTTCGAAAGCGCTAGTAATACTTCGTTTACAGAGAAGCACACCGGAAACAGGTTCATTGTACGTTGTTTTTTGAGCAAGTTCTAGTCACAAATTTTGTCTAGCCATGCAGTACATAGGACACTCAAAAATTATATGCTGAATAG